GAGATTTGTGGTTCCCAATATTCCCCCACTGCAACTGGAAGTTCCTCCTCTAAAAACTAATACTAAATTCAGATTCACACCAATTACAGAAGAGGAATTACTGAAGGTAATTTCTTTATTTGACAATAAATATTCTACTGGTATCGATTGTATTCCTATGACCCTTATAAAAAAATCTTCACAATTTTTACTTAAACCCCTAGTTCATCTAATTAATTCATCTTTCATCTCAGGTCATTTCCCAGATAAATTAAAAATTTCAAAAGTTATCCCTATTTTTAAAAAAGGTGACCGTAAAGATATAACTTGTTATAGACCTGTTTCATTGCTATCATCCTTTTCAAAAATATTTGAAAAGATAGTATACAATCAGTTAGTAAACTTTTTAGAATCGAATAATTTGTTAGATAAAGAGCAGCATGGTTTTCGGCAAGGGAAGTCCACAATAACTGCTGCAGTTGAATTTATTGAAAACATAATTGATGCAGTTGATAAGGGTGAAAGGGTGGTGGGTATTTTCCTTGACCTCTCCCGTGCTTTTGACAGTGTGGCACACCCTGTTTTAATTGAAAGATTAAAATCACTGGGTATTCAAGGAAAAGAGTGTGCTTGGTTTTCCTCTTATTTATGTAATAGGCATCAGTTTGTTGAAATGAAATATCTAGATTATGGTAATTATTGTAATTATTTAAGAAGCTATGTCTGTGAAGCTCAGGTGATTAAGTATGGAGTACCTCAGCGATCCATCCTGGGTCCATTAATTTTTTTGTGTTACCTGAATGGTCTGCCTAAGAGTACCAGCTTCAGTTCGATGTCACTATATGCAGATGATGCTAATTTAATTGTTAAAGGAAATTCCAGTTCTGATATTGAGCTCTCAGCCAATTTGGACTTAATGAGTATTCAAAATGTTTTAAATCAAAATAACCTTCTATTAAATACAAGCAAATCAATGATAGTAAGTTTCTCCACAAAACAAAATAAAATAGCTCTGGATCCAAAAATCAAAGTTGGCAATAACATAATAAATAAAGCAAATCAGACAAAATTTTTAGGACTTTTCATTGATCGACATCTATCTTGGAATGATCATGTTGATAATGTAGTGAAAAAGATGTCATCAGGAATATATGCACTGTGGCAAATGTCAAAAATATCTGACCTTACAGTGCTAAAAACAATATATTATTCTTTAATACACTCTCATCTGGCATACGGAATTTGTATATATGGAGCTACCTCAATATATAATTTGGACAAAATTCTGATAAAACAAAAAAAAGCAATACGAATAATGTTAGGTTTAAATAGCACAGAGAGTGTCGAAAACTTATTTAAAGATCTTAAAATTTTGACAGTTTACAGTCTTTATGTCTTAGAAACAATAAAGTATGTCAAAGAACATGAAAGTGATACATTTTTTGAATCCAAGCATCATTATAATACCCGAAATAAAATTATTTTTGATAAACATAATCTGCATTTTTATAAAAACAAAACTAAATATATGGGCACCAAATTTTTTACTCAGTTGCCAAATTTAATTAGAAATGAGCAAAATTACAATAAATTTAAAAAATTGCTGAAAGAATATCTTGTTAATAAAGCTCTCTATTCTTTTTCGGAGTTTCCTTAAGTGAGGGCTCCACTACTGGTTGCCTGGGTTTTATATATAGTTTTAAATATATTGTATTTTAGCTATATAGCATGAAAGTATGGGATTTTTAGTTATATGTGACTCTATTCTGATGCTGCAATGTATTCATACGAATAAAGTTTATTTTGACTTTGACTTTGACTACATATTAAATGATTAAACTATAGGGACCATGGATATATACAAACTTTTGTCGTGATTTTAATTTCAACATCAAAATACAATATTGCACAATCGTGATATTTTAGGTCATTGACCTTTATTATGCATCCGGTATTGCTGTTTCAGAAGAGAAGCACGTTGATAAATTATAAATTGATATTCCAGTAGTTAAAAAGAATTATTTTATAAACCTATAAAACAAAATCATAAAATCTTACATAAAGATAACAATAACGGAAATTGTAAAAAGGGTAGCCTATAAAGATAACAACATCGTTATTCTTTCTCTTTGTTCAATTCAATTCAATTCAATTATTTAAGATGGGGACACCACTATGTGCATATTTTAACCCAAATATGAGTGAAGGATGAGTGTAGGATGAGTGGCGCGATCTTGTAGTCTTGTTAGTGACTAAGGCCGACATGTTCCTTAGACACAGCTGTTAATTAATAGCCCATACAGCTAATGGCAACTAAGGGACCTACAGTTTATAGTGGAATCCGAACCACATTTTTTCCTTGTAATTTATGAATTGGTCTAATTATCAGGATAGTACTGCGGATAGTCGTAGTACTCACTAGTGCGGACGTTAATCCACACCAGGGAGCATCGCATCCACAGTGCATCCCTATAAATATCCACAATTTGTGACCTCCTAGTAGCTGGATTACAGGACGACGCCACCCGTCCCAGTCTTCTATTTCTTGGGTTTCCCTTCATCACGCATTCAACAAGTTGCCATGGTTACTAATCACCCATGTCGTTATCAGCTTTTGTGACATAGTGCACAGCAGGGGGGTAAAACTTGTTATTTAATTACCAATGAATGTACTACTTTATTGGTATTTGGTACTGTATTAATAATCGGTCAAAATGGCCGATTTTTGTCACATTTTACACCAAATTTATTGAAATTTCAAGGTGAATATTAATAAAACAATTATTACCAAATATTTGTATTCATTTAAAAGATTGATTTGTGGTATTGGGTTCCCCACTGAGTGCAGCCGAGCGGCACTAATGAGGGTCGGACCTTCTTGGGGGTGAACAATAGACGGCTTATCAGACCCTCCCCTCCCCCGTGGTCTGGAGAAAGCTTGTAAACAAGCTATTGCACAAGCGTGACTTGACATTGGGCTGCTTCAACTATAATTTTGTCAAATGAACTGTGATGTTTCAAAATCAAAAACAATAATTTGGGACCATACTACTTAACAATAATGGACTGCAATTAAATACAATCCATTTTTAACAAACTAAGATTATACGATTCAAATATAATTATAAAAATTATCTTGGTATTTTACTTGGGGTAATGAAGTTATGTAGGCTAGTGTAATTCTCGGTTCATCAAGGTTCTACTAAATTATGTTTGGCAGTGAATAAGTGTAGAATGCAATTTATAAATTCAGGGATACACACCTTTTACACAGTTATAAAGTCTAATTTAATTGCCCAACATCAAATCGTGAGCTAGAGCCAATCTTAGTGCATTCGTGATGTTTTCTAAACTTGGCAAACCCGCAAAATGCCACTTAAGGCCAATAATCCGTTCCAAAAACGTAAGGAAATACAATGTGAAAATAAACTTGAGATCGAACTCCTTGGCTTGTGAGAACCAGGAAACAAGATAAAACATAACCTCAAGTAAACAAGCCCAAACGTTTGACATCAGTCCTGCTGAGCTAAGGTGTTGTGTGAAGATTTCGGCTGCTAGTGTACTTAATTCAAGCAACCAACTTTTGAAAATAAATGTTGTGAATTGTGATTTTTAAGAGAGAGAAAACTGTGGACTTGGCTAATTTGAAATTCTATAGTTCAAAATCGTCATTTAAGTTTATTTACACAGCTTTACATTGTTTTATAGGTTAAAAATACATATGCAGCTTATTATTAACCGCGCCGAACTATCCGAATCCGCAAATATCCGAATCCGAACCTCCCAATATCCGATCCGATCCGAACCGAGCCTCAACTATCCGATCCGAATCAGATCCGAAATGAAATTTCACTATCCGCACACCTCTACGTATATGGACACAGATAGTCTTTGACATTGCCTACTCATATGAGTTATTTACGTCGACATATATTGTCACATTACCTAGCCATATGGGCTACTTAAAAAAAAAAAACGTCCTTGGGGAAAAAAGAAAAAAAAACGTATCCGGACCCGAACATCCGGATCCGATTTTTTCAAGATCCGGAACCGGTACCGACATATTCTTGGATCCGCCCATCACTAATATTTTATGCAATTGTGTTTAATCTGCAACGTTATTATTCACTCGTGGATGATCGGGAGTCTACTGTAGTTCCTATATCTTTAACGATCACAATATTATTGAAGATTCCCTTCCCGAAAAAATTCCAAAATTTAACCATCTAAGAAAATGGTAATTACAACTTTCTGAATCCTTTAAACATCCCTAGTTTGAAGCTTAAAATCATGTTTAGTTATAGCCTACTGTTGAATTGAGTACAAACTAAATATGTTTGAAGGTTATATTCCTTGCCTGGTGCTATTCTGATACCACCCGAAAAGTTGTAGGTGGTAAAATATTACCCAATTCTCGGGTTCGAGTAACATAATATGTTTAATATTAGATCTCTTCCTGCGACCCTCCCATCTAGCTCTCATGAGCGGGTTACGACCTATAGTTTGAGAATTGCTAATTTATTAAATTAAGTTGTTAAAATAAAGCCAAAATTCTTTCTTAACCAATATTAGCTACAAATTGGTTCATTTGGTGTTTACTCCTTCAGAAATTTCGAGTCTTTTTTATCGGTATGTTCAAATAAAATTTAATAAAAATTAAATTAATAAAAATTATTTATTTACACAGGCAAAGTATACGTTAGTTATTGTTTTGTGTTAACAATACTGAATTCTCTTTATTTTTTTATATATTTAGTTTACAGTTAAACGTTATTTATTTTCCTTCCTTTTTTTGGTAAAAACATTTTATAGATGGTAATTTGTAGATATTTGTAACACAGAGTTTTATTTATTTTTTTTTTTTAACTGTCTAATAAAGAGAGTTGCAGTTTCATGTCCTTTTTATATGCTTGTAGACATACCTGTAACCCACTATTAACAAATATACAGTTACTAAGATTTATTATTAGGTCTTAGTCATTAGAAAAATGAGAGATAATAGTATTTTGTAAACAACACACCTTGAGCAGATCATCAACTTTGATAACTCCATCCTTATCAATGTCAATTTTAGCCAAAACTTCAATGATGGTCTGTTTACGAGAACTATCAGAGACATTCTGTAACTCCTGTAGTGCCTGAATTAGTTCATCCACCTGCAGCAACTCGTCACTGAAACAAAATACAGATAATCAACAAATGTCATTGAATGTCAATACTATCTTTAAAAGCTGATGCAAGAAGTGTATTTATACAGGGTTTCCACAGAATGTTTAAGGCCATTTTTCCTTACCAATCTGAGGGATTTTTCCTGACTTTAAAAAAAAAAACCAAAGAAAAATTCTATATATTTTTATTTCACTCACCCTTTTATAAAAATAATTTAACAAAGTGCTACGATGATAAAAATGTAAAACAACTGCACTATAGCAATGAAAAAAAAAGGAACTTAAATTAACTAAATTGATAATAGTAAATTAGCTAGTTAGCTAGTGGTAGTCAGTCGGTGGATCAGTCGGTAGCGTCGCGGACTTTGGGTCCAAGGCAGCGATGTCGTGAGTTCGGATCACTGCCGAAAACATTTTATCAGTACAGATCACCTTTGTACTGTACCGGCTCACTCCTTGCTTTGTTGTAAATGATCTACGCACGGGCGGTTAGTCTATGTGGACAGGCAAATACAAGGTTAAAAGAGGCCGCCAACCTCTTTCATAAAAAAAGAAAAAACAATAAATAAAACTGATCATCTTTTGAAGCCTATCATCATCATCTTGCACGATCGTGGCAAAATCATGAACATCTCCCGCAGTCGTGTGAACATCATCATCGTCTAGCGTGATCGCGGCAAAATCCTGAACATATCCTGCGGTTGTGTGGACATTATCATAGTCTTCCAGAAATGTAGCAAAATTCCGGTCATTTCCCGCAGTCGTTTGGACATTATTATCGTTTTTCACAATTGCAGTAACATGTTGATCATCTACTGCGGTCGTTTGTACATCATCATCGTCTCTCTCGTTAACAGCAAAATTCTAATCATTTCCCGCCGTTGTGTGGATATCATCATTGTCTTTTGCTGTTACAGCATAGTTCTAAATATCCATGCGGTAACAGAAACATCATCACCGTCTTCCACGATCACAGCAAAATCATTTACATATCCCGCAAACGTATGGTCATCATCATCGTCTCCCGGGGTCAAGGAAACGTCATCGTCGTCATGCACGATCGCGGTAAAGATAAATTGAAAGTTCCCGGTAAAAATACAAAATCTACACATAATTACCGGTTTCTTCATGATTCAAAAAACCAATCATAGTCTCCAAGATTTTCCGGTCGGTGGTCACCCTGTTTTAGTAAAATGAGTTCATACCTCTGTTATGGAACCCATGGACTCACTTTCTGAATTTCAAATTTTGAGGCTGTGTGGGCAAAAGATTTTGAGATCTGTTACTAATTATTAATAGTTACATTTTTGAGTAGGCCTGGTGGCTTTTGTGTACGCTGATCAGCTAATCAATTGGTTCTTGATTATTTTACGTCTTTTTATGAGAAAAGACAATAGTTTTAAAATTTTGGAAATAATTTTCAAGATTTATAAGCTAATTTGTCTGGTACAGTACGTAAAATTCATATACATTTTTGTAGGGATCAGGGTTGTCAGCAGAATCTACAAACAAAATTCACACATTTTTCCCGGCTAAAAAGTACGAAAGTCCTGGCGACTAATATGGGCTACTTATAAGAAAAGAATATAATGCTAGATTTATTATATGCTCTTTTGGAATTTTTTTGAATTCAGGGACAAATTTTGGAAAATCGTTACCAGCTTATAAGGGGTTTTTTTCAAAAAATTTTAATTTGTGAGGCTAGACAAACTCCCTTCTCCTCCTGATATTATAAGAATGCACTGAATTTATTACTTGCTCAGATTTATTTTTTTTGCGATAAGATTTGTTTCATAAATATATTGCCCATAAACTGTAAAAATTTGTAATTTCTTAAAATGTTCTTTTGCCGAATCAACTCGTTTAAGCTTAAGGGTAAACATCCTTGAAAAAGTTGTGTTTCTGGCCCGATAGATAGCTAGCAGCATCTCTGTGGCAAATTTGTACCACTTATAATTTCCGTATTTATTATCAGATTTTTGTTTTGTAAAAGGTTTTGTAAATTATATGAATAAGACATTCACGCTATTTTGCTAATGTTTTTTAAAATTTATTTACAAAAAACTTTTATAAAGAATTTTTTATTGCTGTAATTATTTTTTTTTTATTGCAGGTAGTCATTTTGTAAAGAGAAAATTTAAAGAATTTTGCCGTTTTCAGATATTAATTCGGCCAAATGGTCGTATCGGAATAGTTTTTTAAAGAAATTATCATTATTTCTCTCGCGCTCCCCTACCTCCCCCCCCCCCCCCGCGAAGCGCAGCTCCAGTGCCCAGCCGCTCTGCCCGGCCCTGCAACGCGACTGTAGCTTCGTAATCTCACACACACCTCGCATTCATACTCTGACCGGACACACTTACTAGACTGGACTACTGATTTCGACAGATACTAGTTTATGATTTAAAAACAAGTATTTTCTGTAAGTCGGAAAGAGACATATATTTAAATAATACCCCCGCCGCAGCAAACCTGCACACTTAGCAAATTTCCATTTGCCTGATTGGATTTACACTAAAATGTCTCCTTAAAAATATCACATTTATTCCCTATTTAAATAGAATTAGTACTTAGGTTTGCTGCAACAGGGAGGGTAAAAAAGTGTCTTTTTAATGTAAAATGGTAATAGGTACTGTCGTTTAGTAAGAAATTAATGTGTATTTTCCAAATTTGATCAAAATATGTTCATAAACAAGCAAACTACAACAGTTGACTAATTCTCCACAAGAATAACATGGGAATTTTAAAATTACAATTTTTTTGAATTTTGTCCGTAACCATTAGGCGCATAATAATGCTTCAATATACTAAATTATTTGTTTTTTTAAGCTCTACAAAATGGTTTAGAAAGAAATTGTGAAATTTTGTGTTTTTAGGGTCAAAAATTGGAAACACCTATTTTTACCCCATAAACCCCCCCCCCCCCCCCCCATACACCGATTCCCATAGTCCGATCATGCTGGTTCGCGAACTCATTTAAGTTTATCACGCTTTACACCTTTAAACCAAATTTCATCAAAATCGGACAAAAATTACTCAAGTTATTGCGTTCACGGACACATATATATATATAAATATTTTTTTTTTTTATAGTTCTGTTCAATTTTTAGGGCTACTTTTTAAATTAATAAGCAAAATAATAAAAACCAGAGTACCCTGAAATTCATTTTTTATTTAAACTGATAGGTATTTCGGCACTAAGGCCATGATCACAGTATGAGTGTTACGAAAGTATGTAAACAATTAAAATAAATAAATAGTTAATAACATATGTTTTGAATTCATAGTAAAATTTTGATTAAATGGTTAGGCGTATTTTTTAACATGTAGATGTGTAAGATTCTTCTCTGATTTGTCTGATTTTTTCATGAATTGGATTTTGTTTTTGTTTTTGAATTATATTGAGAATTTGGTCGCCGTGTTCTTTCTCAAGGAAATCTTCTTACTGGAAATTTGAGGAGAGCCTGCAACTGTTTAGGCCTCTGAGGGTTAAAAGTACCACAACAAAACCTCATGCATGGTGTTAATGTAACTTAAATTTGTATATAGGTTTTAAAAGTTATGGTGGAACTGACTGTAGCCTACTATTTAAAAATGATTTTTAAACGTGTAAACCTAAGTTTACATCAAGAATAGTATTCTAGCAACAAACATGATTTTAAGATATTTTCAGAATGAGCAGTCCGAAGATCCTGGTGGTTAATTCTCTCTTAGTTGAACTTCAGTAATCGTCCGTCACACATTAATAACCAAATTCGTTGAATAAATATGAATAGATTTAATACATATTTGGACTCTGAGGACATAAAATCGAAAAATTTAAACTGTTTAGGGTTAAGGGTTTACCGTGCTATCTACGGTAATAGCTTATCCATAGTTATTATTTGCTTGAAATTAATTATTGCATTTGTATGAGCAAATAACTACAGTACACTAACGATAACCAGACAGAAGAATAAAATAACAAACAGTAGTAGAGCTCAAAGGTCTATTTCTAACCTTTATAGCACGGCGGATTCAGATTGGACTGACGAATTTGCTTGATTGAGACGCATAAATAAAACAGGGAGCTTAAATTTCCCGTTCTCCCTGTGAGCTGCCACCCTGACAGCAGTCTACCTGGCTCGCAGTCGTGGCTTACGTCCCCAGGATTAAAACCTTTTCGACCCTTCACTCATTGTCGTGGCTTTCGTTCCCCAGCTTATAGCCATAAACATTCGTGGCTTTCGGGAGCAGCCCAAGCAACACCCCAGTCTTGTTGTGGGGGGGGAGGGGTAGCAAATGTGAGTGTGACCTTGGAATGAGTCACAGCGGCCCTGTCCTGCACCTGCTTCATGTCTCTCTTGCGTTTGTTATAATTACTGTAAATGTTTAAACAACGATACCGACTAAACCAGCCAAGCGATTTTAAAAATTTAAAAAGTAAAATTCATTAAAAATTATTGTCTTTAAAATGACTACCGGTACCTGCAATTGTCATTTTTCATTTTGTAACACAATTATTTTACTATAATTTTTTTAACCAGCCAACTTAGTTCAAATTTATCTTCAATGGCGTGAATTGTTATCTTATCCCGTTCACAAATCAGTTTTCAAAATGAAAATCGGATGAAAATTCCACCAATAAACACCAACACAAAATGACTCCAATTTGGTGCTGCGACGTGGTGGCAGAATTTGGAACTAAACCTGGGATGTTTAGCCTTAAGCATAATTCTGATAGCCTCTTTTTGCCACTTCAGAATGCTATCCATATTAATTTTGTTGTTGACCCATAATGCTAAACCAAATTAAATATGAGAGTGAATGCGAGCAAAATATATACTTTTTAAGTTTTTCAAATTACAATAAAAGGACATTTTAGCGAATTTCCCTATAGGGAAGTAGCTATTACCGTAGGTGGCACGGTAAGACCTAGACCCGGGACCGATTTACTTTTTCATTTTGATGTCCCCAGAGGCCAAAAACACCATTCGTTCAAATTTTTATATATGTATATATATATAT